GTTCTCTTAAATTACAACTAAGGATAAACCATGGGACAGGTATAATTCTTATATTCAGCTATTGAGTACTAAGAGCTGTGTGCATCTAATTAAAAATCTGAAGTCTACAACACAAAAACCATTTCCATTACAATTGACTGTAAATTTCTAAAGGAAATTGATTTGAGGACTATGGAAAATCTCAGTCAGGACATCCATTCCCTACTGGGGTAAACTGAAACTCCACTTTGTTCAAATGAAGTTATATTCAGGTCCAAAGGTCCTAAATGTAATATTCCATAAATGAACCCCACATTAAAAAATAACATTATTTGTCAATCACAGAAAATATATTGTCCCAAACTGAGAATAAGAGAGGGGATGAACAGCAATTAGCGGGCATTGTTAGTCATATTCTAGAAATCTTTAACAGCGAATTACTAGAATAATCCATGACCTGAGTCACATAAATGTTTTGCTTCAAAATATTTTATCTAGCAGAAATTATTTCTATCTCATATTAATCTCAGGATAATTATTTCTTAGTTTCTCTAACCATAAATGGATTTAATCACCTCTTAAAAGCCACTTATAAAATCATAGTAAACAAACTTCCTGTATGGTAATATCCTGCTTTATCCAGTTTTTATCAAACATACCATTTAAAAATATAAATCAAAGGAAGAATGGCCAACATTCAGCAACATGGTTTTTGGAGTTGCGCCTGCTCCTATGAATTGGGTCTATTTTGGGGCCAGTACTAAGCTACCTTACAGTAAAGCATTTCAGTTCTAAGCATTTTAAGCAAAATCATTTACTACTTTTATGGCAATATAGACGGTAGGAAGACACAGACTTCAGAAAATATATACAAATTCTGTATTCACCAGTCAAGGGTTCCCCAAGCGTTTGTTCTGTCATTTATAAAGTGGAGAAATTTTATCATAGTGAGGGATTTCCCTAATCTAAGCTGCAAACTGTACCCTCTTCACTTTTCCAGTCAATTTCCAGGCATTGTTTACATTGTTCTCTTCCATCCTGTTCCTGGTATATGACAATGCATCACACACACACCCCGCAACAGGCACTCTTCTTTCCTTTCCCTTCACCTTGAGCTGCCAATGCTCCTTCATCCTTTCTCTTTTGAGCAGGTGCAGGATCCAGACTTTGAAATGGTGGTTCCACTTCCTGAGGTGGTTCATGATTGCACTGTTCGTGCTACAAAATATGTGTGTGTAAATAAGAAAAAAAAAGTTTCATTATCAATACATGTCAGTAAAATACATACATATGTACATATATATACACACACGGAGAATACATAAATGCTTCTTCTGATCATAACTAACCCTAAAGACATTCCTCCCACTCTATCCTATATGCTTAATAAGGTTACTCTACCCACAGAAAGGTAACTCTGAGAAAAGTTACCCACAAGAACTTTGGAAGCTATTATACTCTATGGTAGAATAGATGTGTACAATTCGAAATTAACAAGCATGAGAAGGAAGTCCTGGGCAAAAGCTGGAGAACACAAGAGAAATAAAAATCTTCCTGAATCAATGTTTCCTTCATGGGATGCCATAATCATTTTTTATCAGCATGAAAGACCTTTATCAGTACATCTATAAAGGTCTATACTAAGTATATCTATACTAGTATAGTTAGTATATCTATACTTAGTATATCTATATTAAGTATACTAAGTATCCTATACTTAGTGTATCTATATTAAGGCAACAACACTATCACAAAAATTAATTTCTGCTAATAGAAAACATCAAATGTTAAAGCACTTACCAGCATAGGCCCAGTCACCTCAGAAAGTTGTATATATCGTAGTACTCTAGGCCGATAGGTTGGTCTTCCTCGCCAACTCATATTTCACACTGAAAACAGAAAACCATGACTGGCAACATGCACTTGAGATGATAGCTGTACTGTATTCGATCACTTCCATGGCCAAATGCTGTCATTTTAATTTTGAAAATACTTTCAAAATGAGGCCCAGACTTAAGCATTAAGTGTGTACATTTCCTGAGTGCTTGCAAAGCCATATATGGTGGCCAAGGTGGCAGAGCAATCATCTTAAGGCATGTGGCAAAAGGTAGAGGACATTATTTTAAAATGTATTCTGGATGTGGGTTCTCGCTCTGTTGCAGCGCAGCGGCGTAATCACAGCTCAATGCAACCTTAACCTTCCACTCAACCGATCCTCCCGTCTCAGCATCCTGAGGATCTGGGACCACTGAGCTCCGCTGACAGAGGACATTTCTGATGAGGTTTAGTTTCACAAGTGGTCCCCACATGAAAACACTATTGAATCACAATTTCTGTGACTGCTGCTTTTGGCATACTCCCACTTACAGGGCCATTCACCCCCCTCAAATCAAGTTTGCTTGGACCACACAGCTTCGTCCAGTCCTTCCCATTGTTTCTGGATCATCCATGGCGGAGGTGAGAACTTGCAATGCTTCTCACTCTGGCCCCTCCTCACTCCACATGGCTAAGGGGTGCTCACCAGCATTCTCAGGTTCCAGGCCGCTTCTTTGCCACATGCCTTGCCCCCGACAGGGGCCCCCATTCTGGACTCAGGAATCTACCCTGTGTCAAGGGTTCCAGGCACCTCAGGATATCCATCCTTCCAACATCACCACCAGCACTAGCCCCATCTTCACCTGAGCCCCTGTCCGCCTCCCCTCCATAGCCCACCTTCCTCTCTGTCCAGGCCCCTTTATGACCACAAAGCCGATAGTGGCATCACAGCCTGTGAAGAGAAGAAGGACGACCTCGAGGCCGTGCTCTTTCAGAGGTCAGGGGGCCCTTCACCCTCCGAGGCCATGAGGCCCTTCTCTTTCAGAAACCATGAGGCCCTTCTCCCTCAGAGGCCATAGGCCACGCAGTGGACACGCAGACTGCCGGAAGCCCGCTGCCTCGTCCTCAGCCTCAATCACACTTCAACCCCCAGGAGGACTGGCCTGTGGGCCTACCAGATAAGTCTCAGTAGAAGAAAAAGAGTCTGGAATGCAGGAACGTGACCGCACACCTTCACAGCTCACTGCCGTTCTCCACGTGGACTAAACTGCTGACCGGAAGACGCCCGGTGAACATGCGTACTGAGGCGGGAGTCAAAAGAGCTTGCGCGGCTGGCAGGGGAGGGGAGGGCTGCAGTTCCCAGCCCTTCACCCCAAACCCCCGATTCCCATCCCCACTTAGGATAATGGAATCCGACCGACCTCCCTCTGCTGTTTCCCATGCCTCTGGGACTCAAATACCTCAAATAGTGCTTTCCTCAAAACTCACTCCATCTTGGACTGAATCCCCCTTCCCACCAGGGCCCTCTCTGGCCCTGGCCCACCATGCAGACAAGGACCATGGTAACTGCCTGGGAAGACAGGTAGACCACCTGCTTAAACAGAAATAGCAACCTACCCCAAATAGAAATTCTTCAATATGAACAAGTCAGAAAAAGAGACTGAAAGAAAAACGAATACAACCTCAAGGACCTGTAAGAAAATACTAAAATATCTATTATTTGTAGCACCAGAATTGCAGAAGGATAAGTGACAGTATTAGGGAAACAGGAGCCTAGAACAGCCAGAGTGACACCATTTGAAAATCAACCCTATCTTGAAACTAGCAAGACACATTCCTTACCAGTCACAACCCATGGTCGTAAGATGTTGGTAGTTGAGAAAACAAACTAAAGGTACCTTACAAGGACATGCTCCCACAGCAGCGCAAAGTGAAGGGGTCCCAACACCCATAACAATATATGCTTTCAAAATAATTATGCTTTCACATGCTTACACACAGGAAGGTCAAAGATAGTTGTTTTCTTTAAATCAATATAATGATAAATTTCATCATGCTATTAGCCCACCCGCACAAAAGTACAGATAAGTTTAGTCTTTATACAGGTAAGACCCCTATATAAGAAAAAAATGGCCAGGCCAAAGCTAACGCCTGTAATCCTAGTATTTTGGGAGGCTGAACTGGGCAGATTGCCTGAGCCCAGGAGTTTGAGACCCGCCTGGAGAAAAT